AAACACTCTACCACTCAAAATCTGTTAGGCTACATTTAGTATAGTTTATTGATGTCCCATATCTGCAACACAATAAAGTTCAGAACTGCTATGTTGCACAGCTGTGGTTTAAAGTAACTCTTTGCACATAACACACTGGCAGAAAAATAAAAACAACTAATTTTTAAATGCTTCTAACATACGGGCCAGTTTAACATAGGAAAACCTCTGTGTTCTGAGAGAAAGTATTCAGCTTCCATTACTTGACCCAAATTCTCACAAAATGTAAATTGTAATTCATCTTTAAGTAAAGAGATTATAAATACAATGGCTTGTTTCTCATTCACTTGATATAAAGCATATGCAGTTATCTCTTAGAAAATACGCAATACAAAAGTACCATTATAAAATTATTTAATTGCAGGATAAATTAGAAAAACTTAAGAGGTATTTGAGCTTTTTTCTCTATTATGATCTGTGGAATTTAAATAAATATCCTTTAAGTCCAAGTAGACTTAGAATATACTTTATTTCAGTGAATAAGCAGGATGTAAACAAAGCCAAGAGACCTTTTCTGCTAGTACTTATCACCAGAGAAAGTGCTTTTGCTCAGTAAGAGGACAAAGTAGCTAACATGACACAAAATAATGGTTCAACTGAAAAAACAATGTGGCAAAACACCCACAGATTTCAAGTGGTCATGATTTCACTCTGTGCCCAGCAGTATATGTTTGCAGGATTTAAGTGCAAGAAAACTCATCTTCTTCTCTCTGTTTCTCAGTCTTCATGAGCTATCACATGCTATCAAATTTAGAGATAAATTAGTATTAAAATACTACTCATTACATTGGGAAATTGCCAAGGATCAGTGAAAAAAATCATTAAATGATTCTGTAAGAGGCCCTAGTTAATGTGTTCTTTAGTAGCCATAAAGAAAGCCTAGAACATTTCTTCTTCACATTCTTTTTCAGTATGTGATAAGTTAGGTTTGCTTTTACTTTTATTTTACTTTTTTAGTACATATATCTTTTTGTTTTGTTTTGTTTTCTGAGGGCTGTAAGTAGGGCTGGGGACCTGAAGATGCTAGGTTAACACAAACGAAACAGATTAAAAATGATTGGGAAGCAATCTTTAGGTAGGCTGACTAAAATTAACTTGCTTTCTTGCCTTTTTTTTTTTTTTTAAATATTTTCCACATACTTTGGACAAAAAATCCCTTGGTAAAATATCACCATCCTCATTCTCCAATGAAGGCAGTGAAAACTTCCACCTTAGTTTTCATTAATAGATCATGCTCAAAAATCAAGGCAACACAGACAAGGAGTATTTATCAGCAATGGGATATTATATAATTCTGCAGTGGGTTATACACTGATACCAGGTCGTTCTAAACACATGAGCAATAGCAGCTGGTACAAATTTACTAGCCACAACACTGCTCAGCTCTGTGCTACCCTAGGCAGCCAAGCCCAGCCCAAGGCCGGCTTGCCAGAGCCTCGCAGCTAGGGCAGCCTCCCTGCCCTGGCGCCGTTGGACTCAGGAGGCTCCATGTCCTCCCATGCGGGGAAACTCTCCTCTCTCTGCAGACAGAATCTAGTGCTGAGCAGAGCGGCTCTGAGTTCTAAGGGGCTAGGAGTGTTAGAAAGGGGCTGGGAGTCTTAGAAAGGAAAAGAGGTGGCAGAGATTGTGTTGCAAAGGAGCAACTGTTTGTAGAACAAGTGTGACAAGTAGGGATGGAAGCAACTGGGAGAATCAGTAGGTTAAGCCTGAATATGTTCATTCAGTTTTGAGGTTAAAGGTCCCTAGAAAATGCCGAGAGATTCTGAAATGTGCTGAATGTGCTGAATTTCCACTGAAAGAAGACACATAATGCTTTAAGACCTGCAAAATTAGTCTCAGAATGCTTGGTTTTTGTTCTAGTGTTTCATACCAGTCATTGTGCACTCTTTTAAACATAAACTACTCTTTTAAATGTGCATTTAATGTCCTGCTGATAATTTCTGGTCCTTTAAACTACAGTCTGCTTCTGTGAAATAGCAGCATTTGTTAAGAAGGAATAAGTACATTTGATAAATTACAGGGATTAATATGAACTTAAATTAGTAGAAGAATTTAGACTTTTTAATATTTATTTTCTTGCTGCTGCTCAATTTTTGACAGTGAAAGACTATGTTAGACATTTATATAAATATACTTCAAACAGAGGATCTTCTGAGGGTGGGAAAGGCATCTTTTTGTTCTTATTGATATTTAAGAAATGCATGTTCAGTAATTGTCAAACCCATGTTTCTACTCCCAACTTTCCTCTTGCTTCTGGGATAGCACCACCTAGTGACTCTCACACGTATGGGAGAGACACACTTGGCAGACGACACATACGCTGCAAATTCCAGAGCTAGTTGTAAGCAGATGTGAGAATGTGCTGTCACTCACCTTCAAACAATACACCAGAGATGGCAGAAGGCTCGTTTAGAGTCAGCATTATCTGGAGAGATGCAATATGGCTTCCAAGTAAATTATTAACTTTTGCATCCGTCAGTAATCCACAAAAAGGTGAAGAAAACTATCAAGATTATGAATCATAACTTGTATTTTTTTCTGGCTTGCTGTAGGAATGAAGCCCATGTTGAATGAGGGAGAAGTTCTAAGAGGTAGGGAGAGAATGTGCTGGAACATTTACACAACCACTAGGTTTTGGTGTATGCACGTGCCTTCCTACAAAGGGAGCAGAAGAGCATCATCTTTCTTCACCAAGCAGAGATGAAGCAGCATTGCCAGCTATGCCTTCTGTTCTCAGCCAAATTTTTCATTTATCTTGCGAGCTGCCAAAAGTAAACCTGGCAACAATCTGATTTTAAAACACGGAGGCCCCAAAACAGGATGTGGGTGCCAATTATATTAGACAGCTGGGAAAAATAGAGCAAAAACATGAAGACTTTCTTAAAAAAACAGAAATTACATATGGGTTCTATGCCTTTCTTATACATCATGCACAAGAGGATATGCATAATTCTTAACAGGATGTTCTGTACTGCCTTGACAGAAAATACTGCCGTGGGTATTTCAGGAAGAGGTAAATGTTTTATAATGGGAGGCAGAACCCATCAAATCCATATAAATAGGAAAAAAATAAGGAATTTAAGATCCAAGGAAAAAGTAGAAACAGATCAATACCATAACAAGAAGTATCTTCCTACAGAATCTTTTATGTATCTCCAGCAAAACACTCAGTTCACTGCTGCTGCTATCAAAAATCTCTCCAAAAAACCAAAATCAGATGAGTTTACATGGTTTGGTTGCCTCATCATGAAATTAAAAATAAGTAGTAACTTAAAAGTGTAATCTTTATAATAATTGGGACTTACAACCGGAACAGAGCACCTAACCTGCTTCATTTTGACAATAGCTTCAAGGTATAAAATCACTGGCAGAGAGGTGGGTGAAGACAGCCTTGCACATCTGACCAGACATCAACTTTCTCTGCTTGATCCATCCCAGTATGACTAAAGAATCTCTTTTACCAGTCTAACAAGGCCTCAGATGACAGAAGTAAATGCAAAGATTCTTTGTTCTCCTTTTGGGCACAAAAGAATCCTACTCCAGCTTAAAGCATATCCCCCCTCTCTGCTGGTCACAGCTGGGACAAGCAGCAGATCCCTCCTCATCAGCTCCTCACCTCTCAGGGACCCTCCTAAAACACAACCTGGAGGAAGGCAACCCAGAGTCTTCCATTTACAGGAAAAGGAGAGAGAGAGTAGAACAGAAATGTATCCTATGTAGAACATGAACAGAAATAGTTTGCTATCAGTTACACACGTGCAGAAATGGTTCAAACATCTGGGTTTCTCCAGATGTTCTTTTTCTACATAGGAGGGGTGGAGGGTAAAGCCAGAGACTGTGACTGAGCTAACTGAGCATCCAGAAACCCTAGACAGGGGCACTGCACAGACACAGAATCCGATCTACAGTCTGTATGTAAGTATGCAAAGCACTACCCAATGCATGGACACTTATTTCTATCCAGGACATTTTGGACGGAAATATGATGACTTCTTCTGCAAAGGCACTAGCAGCACTGATTACTCAACACAATTCAGCCCAAGGTATATTTGCCTGGCTGTATTGCTTTGAAAGATAGCCTTCACAACCATTTCACCATTTTTGGCAGCATAACATAGATTAGCATTTGCATTTCCTGGTTAATCAGGAAATGTTACAGTGATCATACAATATAATACAGTTGTATTTTTCTATTTAAAATGAAGAGTACTATACTTTCATTGCAAAACTCCAACCACTAGCAGCTCTATAGCCACAACATAAATACCAGAATTCGCTTCACTAACGGATAAACATCATATCAGACCAAAAGAAATTTGTAATCTAATACAATCCATCCTATTTGGATTGTTCCCTTTTATTACATCTTTTTCTTATTCATTACAAACAAAAAACACATGAAGTATTGACAGACATTTTCTACATGCACATTTACTGGTTTCTTGGCATGTATTTGTGGAACTACCACTTACCCAGGCAACTGATACTCTTGGAGCTATCCATAGAGTGACCAAACTTCATCTTACTGTTTTAGCTATGTATACATGCACTTTAATGAAAGTCAACATCAATAAACTTTAACTCAATGGAAGCAATTAATTCAAGCATCTTAGTATGCTTATAATTTGTAAGAAAGTTTTTCATGTATTCCACTGATGCACCTAAACAGATAGATGTTACTTCAAACTAACTTTATTTAAGTAAGATATACAGGATTTATGAACTCTAAGATGCATGGCACAAGAATCTGTCAACTGAGAATTGATCTCAGTCAAAGACTGACAAATGGCAAAGAGCCAAGCAATCCCATATTTTCATCCTTCTCTGACAGGGACTTGACATACTCATCAGGCACCCGCCTTTTCTCTGGAACCGTGCCTCCTGGGTCTACTGGTTACGAGCTTTAGGGGATGAGATAGCTGAAAAGCATGTAGTGTTAGCAAAGTTGCACAAAAAAATACCTGTTTTGGTTAGTGGGCTAGAGAACAGTTGCTGAAGAAGTTTGTGAAGAGTGTCTCTGTTCTTCTCCAGGAATGCACAGGCATCATATAATACCTAGTGTGGGAAACAGAATCAAACACAGTGTTACCCAAAACCCACCATTTTCTTTGAAGTCTGAATAGTCAAAAGACGATTGAGTAGACCTGTTAGCTTGGCTCTGACAAGTCAAGATTTATCCATAAAGGAGTTCAAGTTGTACAGCAGTGTCTTCAGAATGCAAAATGGCTACAAACAGCATCTATATTCACAGCATGTCACTGCACATCAGATTGTTCTAAATGGCTCAAGTCATGTTGTATTATGCTGTGTCACATGGTGTGCATCACACAATATACAGAAATGCACTAAAACTTAAGTTGACAGTCTACGTAAATGCAAAATGGCTCTCCGATAGTCATCATCTACTTGCTGTCTGCAGCAAATTTGGAATCTGCACCTAGAGCTGCTGGAGAAACAGGAGCAAGTTTTATATCTAGGACACATCAAGGTGCATTACAATGATTTCTCATTGCTTCCAAAAAGATAGTACAAAAGCAAAACATTCCTCTATGGCTTCTCTTTTCTTCTCTGGTAGGACGCATCACTTCCGATACTTTATTCTCCAAAGCTTCAGTAGGCAAAACAGCATTTTATATTAATATCACTTCTACTAGAAATTAATATCTGTTTCTTTTAATCAAATAAGAATATGTTCATTTTACTTAACCTTTTATTTTTATAAAACCACGGTCATTTATACACAGGTTTTATTAACACTAGCAATATTCCTCTCTAGCCTAATGCTATTAGTATGAATTTTACACAGAAACGGAATGCTGTCCAGCAACAGTGAACCAGCCAGCAGTGTTTTTATACTTGCCCACTTGTTTAGCAAAGAATTTACTAAACCTGTGTGAAATTTTACAGTTACTCTTAACAAGTCAGAAAGTTGGACTAAATTCACTGAGCGCAGCTTAAAATTCTCAAGTATTAACACGAGTCCGAGCTGAAACTTTATTGACAAATATATAAAAAAGTTATTCCATTTCATTTTTGTTTATAAATGGAGATTTGGACCTTGAATTACAATCAAAACTCATCTTACGTGAAACAAAATGATCCTAATTCCCCCCCAAAAATACTATGTAAACTGCTGAGAACCAAAGATGTCAGGCGCTACAGAGGACGGGAAATCACCTGTGGAGGCAGCTCCCGACTTTCCAAGCTTAAGGAGCTTAAGTACTGTTGAAGACTCTATTATATTGGAGATATTGTTATTTTGTATTGCGTTTTTTTTCCACTGTAACCTAATTTCCTTTAAATACATATGTGCATGTGCACACACAGACATACATGGAACCACTGTGGCATTTAGTTGAAGTTACCAGCCTAATTATTAAGTTACCAGCCTAAATTCTAATTATATTAGAATTTTGTAACCTCTTCTGGACCCAGTGAGTTGCTCCTTTGAAAAGGAAAAAGTAATAGTGGTGCTTTTGGTATCAAGTTTCTTTCAGGATAAAAGGAGCTTATTGTTTATACAATTTATGGAGCTGTGAGGACAGATGGACTACACTGCACAGACATTTTTATCACAAATTCTAGGGTTCCATAAACCTTATTTTTTTTTCTAATAAAATGTGGGAAAAAAAGCCTTAGATCAATGACTGTGAATAGAACAATCAAAATTTATTACTTGAATTAAATAAAAATCACACGACCTTACCTTTCCAGCATAGTGTTGAATACCAAATAACAATTCTGCTCCTTTTGGTCTCCAAAAGTATTTGCATCGTAAGTTATCTTCAAATTTATCTAGACATTTGAGAAGTGACATTGATAAAAGTGAATTACAGTGATTAAGTATAATCTGCCTCCTAATCAGAGACAGTTTATAGCAGTGCTGGCTTCTCAGAGACAGTTGATAGCAGTCGTGGCTTCTTGAGCCACAATAGCAGGAAATTGCCCAATAGCAGCTGCATGCCATTTTCCCTGCTTTCTTCCAAGCTGCCTTTCAGAATGGAACAGCTGGTCTAAAACAGCCCAGCAAGACTGCCTTCCAAATCCCACTTTGCTCAGTTTTACACTTAGAAAATTATCAAGTAATAGGAGCTAATGAGAAGGTATGGGAACTTCTTTTACTTTCTTTATGAATTAAATGTATTATATGTATATTTATATGCATATACGTATTTAGCCTTGTGGGCTTTTTTGTTTGTTTTTCCCAAACACGTAGATTTAAAGCGGTGCACACATCTGGCCTGTCTAAATTGCTGTAGCTATTTCTATTTTCTCCATCCTCCTTTCCCCATTCATTTAGTCTTGCACACCATGTTTTAACATCTCTACATTGGGACCAACTCTAATTTCCCTTTGGACTTGCACAGAAAAAAACTTCTTCTATCCAAAGGGCTTTCTGTTTCCCGTGACATATCACTACCAAGCTGACAGAGAAAGAAACATGGCTTGTTAAGGAAAAGGTCTTTTATACCCTCTGACATTTTACACGCTCTGTAAGATTTTGTAATGAATTCTGAGTGGTTACTGTGAAAATTGCTATTTTATTTCTTTATATGAACAACCAGCTGGAGGCCTTGAGGCCTTGATAAAAACCTCTCTCATACAGGAGGTCAGGTGAGATGATCAAAATGGTCTTTTCTAATGTTAGAATACTTTTTTTTTTTTTTGGTCTTAGTATTTCATAAGTATTTCCTAATTGATATTTAACCAAACTTTAGTATCCGTGTATTAAAAGGAAAGAGAATTTGGCTTGGATTTTTCATTTCTAATTAACGCTTCTCTGGCAGTGAGCAAAATATCCCAGTTTGATATCATCTTGAGAGGTCCTGGTGTTCTCAAGACATCAGCAACAAAACCAATCAGCACTGCAGCATGGAGACTGCCTCTGTGAAAGTTTAAGTTCAAAATTCTGTACTAGCTGATTTATAGGGCCCACAGGCAGGCACACTGCTTTAGTACGCAAATGATATTTATTTTATCATTGACCTAAATTCAACTTTGAACTCAACCACGAGTTGACAAGTGAAAAACCCTATATATATATATATATATATCATATGATTGATCAGGCAGCTGTTATTCCCTGCTGCATATTCCACTGAAGGAACTGGAACTCTGTTACCTATCACGGGAAAAAAAAATGTAGCTCTAATAAATAAAAACAGGACAACAATTTAAAGGATGGCATGCACTGCAGCTTTTAAAGTTGGAACTGAGATTTTTTTATACTAAAATATGCATGAAGGAATGGAAATATTCCACCAGATGGCACACCAGAAATAACACATACTTTCAATTTACGATGAGATAATCTGGAGTGAAGCAGTATTTTCTAATTGGATAAACATGGGCCGAGGAGACTGAAGATCTATATTTTACTCTCAACACTGATGCTAACTCATAGGGTGGTCCTGAACACAAGTTGCTTTCATATCTCGGTCTTCTCTTTAGTAAATAAGGACAAAAAAACCCACTTGATGTACCTTGCATACAGGGCCACCACCCAGGTTATTTCCTTAAAACGCTAAGGAGACAACAAAACCCTCAACATCAGGTATGTGAAATAATTTTTGCTACACAAAACCAGAAAATAAGTGAAGCATAGAAGAAGGACAAAGCATAATGAAAAATATAGTTAACCACTGAGGCCAAAAAATGGCAAAGCCTCAATAGTATAACTCAGCTAGTAAAACTAAAGTTGTCATTTCTCATTCTCAAAATATATTAGCCATTTCTAAGGAATTTTGTTTGTTCATACCAACTAAAGTCAAGTCTGTTGCCTGAGGAAATCGGCTTTCTTCATCTAGCAGAGAAAGGAGGCCCATGGGCTTCTGGAGGAACATATCTAGAAGCGGACGGTTGTCCTCATACTCCACAGCAGCAGCGTCAATTCCCTCATTCTGATACTCCATCTACAATGTTACCAGCACAGTTTTAACACTAAAGCAGTCAGAGAAACATCTTCATTAGGACATTCATGACACACAGCAATACGCTCTCTCTGCCCCAACCATATCAGTTACAAAACTGTAACAACTGCTCTGAAAGACGTAGTCCTTATCTTGCCTTATTATCACATACACATTTTATGTTTTATAATGCTTTTGAATGTCAGAATTGATGATTCACACAGACTCAACAGAGTTGCCTTTACCTGCTCAAGTGCAAAGATGTGCTGATTGAAATAAAACTGGATCTGTTCATTAGCAATATTTATGCACAGCTGTTCAAATGAATTTCTTGCAAAGTTCTCAAATCCAAAAATATCTAGTATCCCAACATGCATTCCATTTTCAACATTGCTGCATGGAAAATACAAACAATAATCATAATGATGAGCATCAAGAAAAGAATTAAAATACACAGATTACATAATCAGTTCAATATGCTACAAAAAGAGAAAAAGCTTGTGCAAACATATGATGACTTGTGCATTTTTTCAACATCATTTACTCTTTTCCCTGCACTTTCATTCTCCAAACATACAGTGACATTCTCTGGAACTGTAGTAAAACAAGTGATTTCAGCGACTGGATCCCAAAATAAATACATAGGCAGTTCCTCCAGGTGGACAAATGGTGCCAAGACCTTCTAGCATGTTTTTACTACACCCACACAGCAAAATAACTGCCAAGTCTGCTGCTGCTACAGCTGCACTGCTATCAGTACACAGGCTAGCTCAAGCCTGTTTACAGCACAGTCAACACTGGAACTGCAAATTCAGTTGAGGACATGTTAGGTGATGCAGCAAAGCACCAACTAGGAATCTCCAAGGTACCTCTGAGATCAGAAATAACACAGCATATTAATATGGGGTCTTGGTAGAGCATTACATGAGAATGCCTGCTTTGATTCCAGCACCTAAGTTCATTCACAGGTTGTCTGTCTGAAAATAATAACACATCACATGCTGTGCAGATACGCTCTGAAAGGAGGAACAGTGTTCACTAAACTTTTCACCTTAGCTTCAGCCTAAAACATGTGGGTTGTGATTATATACAGAAGCATCAACAGTGTCAGTTGGAGGTATGATAATTCCAAGACACCTTTAGTAGCACTAGCACTGTCAAGAAGGAATGAAATACTTTTGGTAGAATTCAGAACTACTATCTTTAACCTATGCTGGCAATAATCAGTCCACGGATTCTCTGTGCTACTG